CCAGTATCCATTGCTCGAATGGTGAACTAGCGGGAAGCATAATGGCCTTGCCCTTGTTCCTGGCCGAAGGGACCGCGCTCCGCCCTCTTAGAGAGGTAGGAGTGGTTTTCGTCCCTGGCTGGGAAGTCTGGGCCTCGGCTGCAGGGAACGAGAGGCGACTACGCACGCTCGGTTCCTGGCCGCCGAGTCGGTCAAGGACGCTTCTGCGAGCAGTCTCAGGTTCCCGGCGAGTAGATTCTGGCCGAGAAGCTGAGCTGCTGCTCTTATGCGCTGCTGGTCTTGAGGATGAGGATCCTTTAAATAATTGAGAGTTCTTTTTCCTCTGTTTTTCATTTTTCCAAGAATCCTCCTCCCACTCTTCCAGTTCCCGGAAGGAAGGAAGCTTCCCACCGTCATGGTCTAACTTCCTCCGCTGATGCCGGGTATGCGGAGGAGTTCGATCACGAGGCGGTGGCATATTCTGTGCCCTCATTGCCTCCATGAGTACTGCCAGCGCTCTTGCCACCTCTTCCGAACTGGGCCCCGTCAAAGGGGTCCCCGGCCGAGTGTGGGCATGAGGCCGTGCAGCCGATGGTTGGCTTCGGGACACTGAATATGTCCTATGATCAGACTGACCCCTGCTAGACCGAGAGTGGTCCGGCCTATATTGAGAGTCATGCATTATAGGAGATAGGGAATCCTCCTTGTGTGATCCTCCCCCCGAGCCGGCACCCTTGGGAGAGTTCCGGTCCGGCGTGGGCGATGGTGTAGGGGTTTTAGGCTTTTCGCCCGCTCCTTGACGGAGGCTTTTGCTCTTGCGGTTCTTAGCCATGGCTGCTAAGATAATTGCAAGATGATCTTGGTTAGGAATTCGGCTTAAAGATTTTTGAAAGTCTTCCCCACAGACGGCGCCAAATTGTTTCGGTTGAAAACAATGGGACCTTGCCGAAGGTCCACTGAAATGGAGAAGACTGGATTCGATCCAAGCTGTGTTGGGCCGAAGGTTTCCTGCACAGTGAACACACGTAAACTAGCCTCGGGGGTGTTTCCGAGGAAGGCCCCTCCGATGCTAAAGTCAGTATAATGTGTAAAAGGAAGACACTATGCAAGAGAGTTTGTAGCTTGAGGCTTTTGTGGAATATTTCTGAATGCAAGAATGAGCATACGAATTGGAATAAGACTGATCATATGTGATAATGTATCTCCTCTCTCCTTGAATGTGTTAATATGAGGGCTTTTATACCTCATCATACTTGGAGAGGTTGGGCTTTAGCCCAATTGGCTTACTTTGTGGGCTGACTTTTGACTTTTGAGCAATTGGAGAGTTGAACCTTGACCTTGGGCTTTTAATTGGATCATTTAGTGCTCAGGCCCAATTTTGACTAAATTGGACCCAAACATTAGGTAATCCTTTCTTATCTAGTATTGTACTCCAGGCCCAATCCAATTAATGGGCTAGAAACCCAAATTAAAAAAGTGCGCTAAGATTTATTTCATGAAATAACAAGTAAGCAGAATGTAATATACACACACACACACACACACATATATATATATATATATATATATGAAAAATTGGTTGCAACAACACCAACTATGATGAAGGTGTGTGTAGCAGCACAACCTTTCAAGGGTGCGGTCTACAACACAAACTATTAACTATGTAATTGGATGCACATATTAGCATAAATGACACTAATGAACTAAGGTTCCATAGAAAAAGTGTAATCTTTATTATTTTGTTTAAACATTATTTAAACTTATATGATTTTCCATCATGTGTGACTAAATTAGTCTTACCTTCTATTTTTTTTTTCTTTTAAGCATTTCTTAACCTCCACCATTTTATTTAGCGGATTCCTTCAAAAAAAAAATTGTGCTATTATTTTCCTTTATTCGATTCTCCAATTACTTTTTCTAATATTGATCTCACATGATTGACTTAGTTTCCTTTCCCTTTTCACTTAGTTAAATACTATTGATAATTTTAAAAAAAAATCATTTGAATACCTTTATTCTATAAGATTTCAAGATACATAGGTAACTTTCTATTACCAAACCCCACAAAATAATTTTAAAAATTTAATTCAAAAAATAATTTTAGAATTGGATTTTAGGATATGCCAAATTGATTTTCTTGTTTTTGATGTACAACACTTAAATTGTGGAGGTTGAGAAAGAATAATTTAAAAGGTAAAAATTAGTTATAATGGAAGAGAAACTAAGTCAATCATCACATGAGATGTAAATAAATTGAAGAAACGAACGATAGAAAATAATGGCAAAAACTTGTTTTTTGAAATAATTCGATTTAATGGTTACTTAATTACATGAGATGGAAAATTAAGTATAATGGAATTAAACAAAAATATATTTAAACAAAAAAGCATTAAAAATGTTTAAGATTATTTCACTTTTTTTTTTTTTTTAATAGCAAGATTTCACTTTCATAAGAAATCTAAATTTTGCCAATGTCATTTACGCTGTTATGTGCACCCAAGTGCATAGTTTGTGATGTTGAGTGCACCCTCAAATGGTTGTGCTGCTACACGCACCTTTGTCACAGTTGGTGTTGTTCCAGTCAATTTTTCCACACACACACACACATACACACACACACATATACATATATATAAAGGATGAAAAATAGATCAACTCTTCAATTGCAAAAACAAGATGACGAAATTCACTCTTCTTTTTTCTCTCTGTATTTCACCATTTGAAATGGTTGAAAATTCTTCAATTGCATCCTTTTAAGATAAAATTTCTCCTCAAGCATGTCCAAAATTAAACTAAAATACTTTCAATGGCATCAAGAGAAGTATATGAAGAATTGTAAATTATTTTGTTAGTTAGGGTTTAATTTTTGTTAAATTTTGAATTGTTGCATTTAATTTACTCAAATATACTGTTAAAGTAGTGGTACTGAATCTGATCTGCTATTGTTGAGCTTAGATTATACCTTATGTTATTTTTCTCAAATATAATGTTATTTTTACTTTCACCTTGTGTTATTTTGTTAAAACCATGTGTTATCTTACAAAAACTAATTTGGATTTGTTATTTTAATAAAATTTGAATTATGTTTACTATAATTGTGTTATTTTTATTTTTATGCTATGTTATTAGTATATAACCTTATATTAATCTTCTTATGATTTAATGTTACTGTGCTTCAAAATAGTGCTATTTATTTCCTTTGTTATTTTGTTTAAGCATGGTGTTATTTTAGATTATATATACCTTCTGTTATTTTGCTCAAATATAATGTTATTTTTGTTTACATATTGTTATATATATATATATATATATATATATATATATATATATATATATATATATATATATATCATTTTTTTTTTTTGAAAAATTGTGTTATTTTACTTAAAGCTTGTATTATTTTGTTTAAAAATTAAGTTATTTTAATTTGTCAAATTTTTGTTTGCTTTATTTTACTGTTTCACCTCTTCTTTCAGTTTTCTTCATCACAATCTAGCAATCTCGTCGTTTTCAGTATTTTTTTCCAGAACTTCAACATAATTTTCAATTAGCCATCATTAATGATATTGAAATATGATTTTTAAGTTTCTTGCTCTGTTTTCCCTAATTTCTATCGCACGCACTCTTTTTTTTTCCCCTTTATATTTTTTAAATTTTAATAAAAAGTTGTATAATTAACCCGGAATACCATGTGTACGGTACTTCGGGAGCATAATAGAAATTGCACTAATATCTTGCTTTAATGCCTTTGCTACCTAACGTCGTATCTCTATGAATAGTTTAATGTCAGATTAACCAGCTACTTCATCTTTTCTACTGCCACCTAACTATATACTTCATCCGTTTCTTTTTAGTTGATACGTATCTTTAGTCACGTTAGCCAATGCACAAATTCAATCGTTAATATCTTTAATTATCGATTACCAAAAATTATAAAAAGTTGATATTTTGAAAATATAGAACATGATGAATCTAAGTAGACCCCACATGATTATATTTTTCATTACTTATAAATCACAAAACACGGTAAAAAAGAAGTGTGCAAATAGTGCTAAAGTCAAAACGTGTCAACTAAAAAACACGGAGGTAATATATATCATATATACCTTCTTTTATGATCACTTTATTTCCTAGAAGGCTAGAACCTTTGTAATCAATTTATTGTATCTCAATCTCATGACTGAAAATATCTCAATCTTTTTAATTTTCTTATTTGGGTCTGACAATGGATCAAATCCGTAAAATTATACCCCATGTATTGTTAGGAAAGATATACGTTTGCCGATGGTGATAAGTTATCTCATCTCACGAAATGTAATGAGATTAATGATTTAGTGCTATATTTGTATGGGTGGTGTTGATTTCACAATCACAGTTTGTTGTATGTGGCTGGCCACATGATGTGGCCATCTTACATTCATGATCCAACGACCTTCAATAAGGCCCAAAAACATAACAGACCCCAATTTCTTCTAATTCCGTTTTATGCTATTTTAAAATAACCATTTATTTTTAAAACAAGTTGCGGGATATTCATTAAATGATGTCAATTTCTGCGAAGTAATCAAGCTTTGGGGAAAAGAACCAAGAGATACAAATTCTTTTCAATCTCTAACGTCCCATCTTGCAACACTATGGGCTAGAGTATTACTCGCACGCTAAATATAAGATAAGAAAACGAAACAAAATAGGATTAGCAAAATGCATTGGCAAAGGTGGGAGCTTTTATGTCGACCCAAAGCAAGTGGTGGGCTGGGATTTCGAGATCTAAAGTGTTTTAAAATAACCATTTGATTTGAATTGAATTTCTCAAACTTGTTTTTCATAGCAGTTTCCTTCATCTTTTTCAAAATCGCCATTACTTCTCTCACTTCGACTCTTTATTTTCCTTTAATTTGCTCTCTGCAATTCTATTTCTTCTCACTTTTTCTTTAATTTTCTCTTTGCAATTTCATTCGTTCTCTCTCCTCTAAATTGCTTCTTTTTTCATTTCAATTGTGCCAACAATGGTTAAAATCAAGAAAATCAGTCGCAAGGGAAAGGAAGGGTTGTCTACATGTATAATTGCTGACGATTCAGGTACTTTTGAAACCCTATTTTTTTCGTTTTAACAATTTTTTTATGACCCTTCTTTCTTTACTTGAATTTATCTCTACTTTTTGGTGTTTTAATGATTTTCTTCATTATATTTGATGTTTTTTTTGTAATTTTTACATTATTTTGCTGTTTTTTTTGTTGTTGTTAATTTTCAGCTTATATTTCTTTATTTACTTTGATTCCTTTGTTGAGTGTGAATTATTTTAATTTAGTCTTGTCAATCTTAGTAAATATATGTAGTTTCTCATAATTTTTTTTATGTATTATTAGCACTAGTTTATGTAGGGGTTACCTATTTTGTAGTTTTATTTATTTTTTTTTTTTTTTTTTTTTTGTACTTGTTTATGTAGGTGTTACCCATGTGATGGTTTTCTTAGGGTGAATTTGTTCTTTTTAAAGTAACATAGTTTTGGTTTAAGCTACGTTGTTGTTATGGTTGTGGTTGCTGATTAGAGTAACATAGTTAATTAAGGTTTTTTTATTTGTTTAATGGTTTTTAGGGTTAGTTTCTTTGTATATAATTACTCCTTTTGTTTTTTTTATTTGCATCACTTTCCTTTTATGGGTATTTTTTTAAAAATGCATCATTTCTATATTTAGTAACTTTATACTATATTTTGTCATTTCTCTCTCTTACTTTAAACCCCACTCAAATTATTTTAGCATTCCTCTCTCTTCCATAGCCCCACTTAAATTATAAAAATATCTATCTTCTCTCACATACCTTCTCTTTCATGGTCACTATCTCACTTTTACTATAATAATTTATTCACCCACTTACAATATTTTATTACCCTCTTAAAACTTTGTGCATTCTCAAGTGATGCAAATAAAAAATACGGAGAGAGTAGTATTTATAGGCTTATTTAGTTGTATATCGGGCACTCAAGGTTAGGTTATTTGAATTTACTTAATTCTATATCTATTACAGCACATAATGAATCTAATGATTTAAATCTAAAATCTGATTATCATTAGGGAATGAGCGTGTTGTTGAGACTAGTAAAAAGCTAAAAAACAAATCGAAGGATGATGTTGTTGATGTATCTCAGGATGTTGCTCGTTCTAGAAAAAAGCAGAAAATAGAAAAGGATAATGAAGATGTTAAGGATTTGAATGATTTGCAATCTACTAAGGATTTGAATGATTTGCTATCTACTAAGGATTTGAAATCTATTGAGGATATTCCTGCTAAAGATGTCAAATCTGCTGAGGATATTCCTGCTGAAGATGTTAGATTTACCGAGAATATTCCTATTGAAGATGTCAAATCTACTGAGGATATTCCAGCTGAAGTTGTCAAATCTGTTAATGAAAAGAAACGAAGAGGTCATAGAGCTGTTGCTGATTCTAGTCAAGAAGCTGATGTAAAGCCTTATGTTGAGGATGTGACTGTCGTTGCAAAGAAACAAAGAGGTCGTAAAGCTGCTGCTGATTCTAGTCAAGTAGTTGAAGTTGTAAACGTTGAACGGAAAGGCCAAGAATGGTATGTTTACATTTCTTCTTTCATATTTATCGTGCTTTTTTACCTTTCTTTAGTTTACTTGTTCTTGTTTTCTTTTATACTAATTATTGTGCTTTGAATTACTTGTTTATGTGTTACTTTTTTCATTGTGGGGTTAGTTCTAAGGGGTTACTTATTATATTGGTTACTTGAAATTAGTGAAGATTTTTAATATGGGTTACTTAAAATTAGGGATTACTTGTAATATAGGTTCCTTGTTTTTGTATTCTGTTTTGGTGTGTTATAAAATGGGTTACTTGAAATTAGGGGTTACCAATAATATAGGTTACTTGAAATTAGGGGTTACTTACAATTAGGGGTTAGATAATTGTAATATTGTTTACTTGAAATTAGGGGTTACTTGAAATTACGGGATACTTGAAATTAGGGGGAGTTACTTGAAATTAAGGGATACTTGTTTTTGTGCTAATATTTGGGTATGTTTTGGTTTAGGGCTGACTTGTTTATTTTTTCTATTTTGGATTTGTTTTTTGCATTGGTTCAGGGATGATGAAGTTGTCGTGCGATGTAGACCAGCTGGTGTTGTTCAATTTATGAAAAAGACAACCGATAAACAAAAGACAGCTATTGAATCTATTGGGTTTGGTAGTTTGGCATCAATCAAGTTACAAATATTTCCAAGGCAAATGATTCGCTGGCTTTGTGAACACTTTGATGCAAAGTCTTGTTCTTTTAAGCTACCTTCTGGACAAACTTATAAGTTAACAGCTGTTGATGTCCATGATGTTTTTAATATACCCATGGGTCCTTTTTCTGTTCCCATTTCTGGTAGACGACAAGATTCTGAGTTGAAGGTTTCTTGGAGGAAAAAGTATACCGGTGGTAATAGAGACATCACTGTTCCACTTTTGGTTAACAAGATGAAAAGTGATAAGGGTATGTTAAAAGGCAATGATGAATTCAAAAGATGTTTTGTGATGTTTGCCATGATTACATTACTTGCTCCCACAACAAATAGACAAGCTGATTTGAAACTAGTTTTAGCTTTAGAGGATGTTCAGAAAATCGGTAGGTATAATTGGTGTCAATATGTTTTGGACGATCTATGTGATAAGTTGTCAAGTTACAATGATTCAGTGAGATATGTTGCTGGGTGTGTACTGTTTCTTCAGATTTATTATTTCCATAGGGTTCAAATTCAAGGCAATGTACTGGATAGTTCATTGCCATTGATTGGGTGTTGGACTGATGAGTTAATAAAAAAAAGAATAAGCCTTGAAAAAGGAAATTATGGTCAAGTTGTGTTAAGTGGAGTATCATACCCTATTATTAAGGCTGGGAATGTTGGTAAGAGTACAAAGGTGCAAAAGAAGGAAAAAAATTTAGTTGAGGAGAAAAAAGAAGAGAACATAAGAAGAGATAAAGAAGAACAAGGAAAGAAAGAAAAATTCCATGCTACTGCAAGCTGCCCCAAGAATGATAACCATGAAATAGGAAGGTTGTTCAAGATAGCATGTAAAAGTAAAACTCTGTCATGGAAACCAATTACACCGTATTTGGATGCCTCATAACCACCACCATTTTTCCCACCATGCTAAGTAGAATGGTAACTTAAATCAGCTTTACCAGAGATAAATCCACACTAGATGTGATAGCCCACCGCCAATGAAAGATGATATAACCAAATGAGCCTTATAATATCAAATGTTGAATTTCTAATAGCAAATGGAGTGTTATAGCCATCTGAGATCTAGAGCATCATTCTTAGAATAACCTAACCAGCATTGTTGGACCTGCAAGGTATAAAGGTGACATTCATTCTTTATTTTAGAGTGATAAATATGAAAATATACATATGTAGTAATAAATTTGAAAATATACAATTTCTCTTATTTCTTTTTGCATCATCTTTCATTAAAGGTCCATTAGATTGGTTATATTATTGTTCAACATCCTATATGTGAAAGAAGAAGATAACTTTGTAAGATCTATTGTTAATTTATTTTTAGGTAACTAGTTTATATTGGATTGGTCTGGAGATAGATGATTATTTTGTAGAACAATCTGCAGCACAATATAATGAAGTAGTAAATGCATCGTCGACTTGAGAATAAGCACAAGGTTCATCAGCACCAAATACAGTAAATAAACTGGTCTAATTATATTGTCTCAATAACAAGTCAAGATTGTGGTGCACATTTCTGAATGCGCAAAATAAAGTTAAACAATCAAAACAAATAAAGAAAAAGTCCAACTATTCTTTAAGCATGTATCATCAAGGTTTATATCAATTCTATCCCAATGAAGTATCTTCCACTTCATGCATCATTGCAAGTGTTGAAGCCCAAGCTCATGAAATCACTACCCTGGATTGTTGTTTATCCATAAACACCCAACAGTAACAATTGATAAGTTATACAAATTAAATGAATGAATCACTAAAAAAATATATTACTGCTCTTAAAAATATATATATATAAGCAATGGGAAGTTTTAATAAGATGTTTAACCTCGGCTTAAAATGTTTTAAAGATATTTGTCTTCATCAATAAGCTGATAAGTGCGGCTTGGGTTTGCAATATTCGGGATCTCTTCAACAGAACCTATAACTATAGCATCTTGAAGGATATTCTCAACTAAATCATTTGTAGGTTGTATAGCCCGATTTTCTAAACTACAAGACGGAAAAAGGTTGTTGTTATTACTGTTTAAATTGGGAGATTTTGGAGTATGAAGGAATCCTATTGTTTCAACCTGTAAGTTGTGTAAGTTACTAGGATTTTGCATAAAAGATTCAATATAACTCTCTGATGATGAATTTGGAAATTGGTTAAGGTATGGTGCTCAAGAAATTAGTAAAAGAGAAGACCCTGGATTAATAATGCTTGATCCATTATATCCATAATTCAAAACAGTGTTATTCCCCTCAACATTAGCCTGTCTGCTCACCAACTTGCCTATACTTCTAAAAGATCCATTGCTAAAATTTTCAGACTAAGAGGCCGCATTTCTGTTGTAGCTTGATGGTGAAAGCACAACTATTTTAGTCTATAAGTTTGGTATGGAACTTGTATTCTCTATTTCATATCCAAATTTATACTTGTTATGTACTCGATCTTACAACTCAAAACACTTATATATGCTTTTAATATGTAAACACACCTGTGCCAATATTAGTCATATATGCTTGTCGAATTTAATCATATATGCTTGTCGAATTTAATCAATCCTTCCTCTAAGAAGCGACTGATTGCTAGTGTTCTCATTAACTGCCAATTGTTATTGGTGTTGAATAAATGTGAAGTTTTGTTCATAGAGCTTGTTCCATTCATTATTCCAATTTGGCTGACATTATTCCTAAGGTTAAGTTTAGTGGTTCCATAGAGTCGTTGTCTAATTCTAAAGCCGCTTAAAACTCTAGTACTCAGTAGACTTTAACCATGATTTTGAAGAAAGTGATATAGCAGCAACATTGCTGAGTGCATTTTGTGGTTGTTACCTTGGAGTAGCTCCTGACCTTTAAGCATTGATGATAGCATAACTTGCATCTGGTAGAGCTTGTATTGTATTAATAGCATTTATAGGAGTTGCTATATTGGTAGAAGTCGAAAGACTTTGAACTTGTATTGTATCAGAAGCACTTGTTGGAGTTGCTACTATATTGGTAGAAGGATTATCACCACGTTCTTTGTTTTTCTAAGGGAGGTAATAATAATAATAATAAAAATCCTTAACTACTCTACAAGTTCTTAAAAACAAGAGAACATAGAGGATTAACGATAACATGTAAAAAAAAATGGGGGGGGGGGGGTAGAGGAGATGGGAAAGGAGAATGCAGTTTGAACTTCAACATGTGTTATAATATTGGCCGATTCAAGGATACTTGAAATAGATAACTATATGGGATTGACAGCTGCAAGTTTTAGTGAGTGAAAACTATTTGAATTGTTCATAATTAAGGATCATTCATGGTTGATTGTAGATATAACATTATCAAAAATCAATGACTAACTATGTCATTTTAATTTTCCAAAGAATGAATGAGTGAAAATAAAAAAAAAGATGGCTTGTTACCTTAGCTAAAGTAACTAAGTATGCAATTCTTGCCCTGGTTGTGCTAGTATAATCGCCTTTAAAAAATTAAAAGTTAGGATATTGTCTATATCAAGTGAATGTAAGTCTTTATTAAGTAAATTCTATAGCTAATACATATTTTGTGTGTTATCTTCTTCAATTCCCTTTATAAGTGCTTCCATAAACTTAGCATGAATCCCAGTATTCCACCTGATAATTTTCTTGTACTGTATTGATCTACCTATCGAGTTTCATGTATTGTTGTTCAATGCATTCTAATTACCATACTGTACTCTTTTCCTCTTCTGGGTGTTTTTTTTTGTTCTCTGTATGCCTAGCTCCAACTGCAACTGCTAAATTACTCAAAGGAGCTCAATCGTGATCTCTTTGCCTTTTCTTATAGATATGCCTGTTAGTTTCTCATTAAGAGATAACTCTTTTATAGTTTTCCTGATATCAGTTTGAGTCTTATTTCTATCTTTTCTGAACACACATATTGCCTGAAATATTGAGCAGTTTCCCGCTTTATAGGTTTTGTGCAAAGCTCGTAAGCTCCTTGTTCCATAGCTTCAAAAGCCATGGATCATGCTTCTGTTGGTCACTACAAACAATGAAATTTTAAGACGAAGTTCATTGCAATACCCATTTCTAATTATGTTATCTGTTAATTGAACTAAAACTTTAGAAAGTCTAAACTTCAAAACAACAGGGTGGTTTGAAACCATTTTCGCAATTTTAAGGAATTTAAAGCCGTCCATTTCTAGCATGTCCATTGTAGCAATGACTATCTAGGTTAAACTCATTTGCCCGTTCTTGCATCATTTTGAGTGCTACACTTGGGAATTCAGCACTTGTAACTACAAAAAAGAAACATCGATAATTAGCTTGAAGTTAATTTGGAATATGTCTAAGACTGACTCTGTTTATTTCACTTGCATTTTACATGGTCTACAATGCACACCATTTATTAACCATTAATATATTTAATTATACAATAGTAAAATTATATATATATATATATATATATATATATATATATATATATATATATATAAAGTATATTATCATTTATATTGAAAAGGATCCAGCAAAATCTCCCATGATAATATTTGTTTTACAAACTTATATAATGATGATCAAACTCTTTTCATACTTTGTCCATATGCAGTGTGTAGAAAAAAAAAATTGAGGTACTAGTTTTTTGTTATATGTGATAAAATATTTCTAGCTTGTAGAGGTAGTTGTTATTTAATTGAAGCGTACTCGTATTTATAACTAACAATTTAGAAACTTAAGCATTAACATTCAATTCAGTACATGAAAAAAAAATAACAAAAAAAAGACAAAAAAAAAAGTTCTGAAATATAAGTATGTCTAGCAAATAAACTATTTTATGATGGTAAAAGCTAAGGGTACACTAGTGTACAAAAGCATATTGTACAGTGGCGGATCCAGGAATTCTAACTAGGGGTAGCATAGAAAAATAAAGGAAAAAAAAAAGGAAGTCTTAGACAACATGACATAAATCTTGATGAGACCTTTATAGTGTCATCTATTATTGACAAACTGCCTTCCTCTTGGAAAGACTTCAAAAACGGTTTAAAGCATAGAAAGGATGATGTAAATCTTGAGGGTTTGGCTTCTCACATTCGGATTGAGGAAGAAATCCGGGTACAAGAGGGAAGTAAGGATGCAAATCCAAGTTCCATTACGGTAAATGTAGTGGAGGATGTCAAGCTAAATGAGAGGAAGAGAGGTAATGACTCAAACAAAAATAAGGGAAAGAAGCCTAATTTTAGCGGTGATGGTACAAAGTCACGTGCTGGTTGGGTTTGTGGAAAACCCGGACATTTCAAGAAGGATTGCACAATCTGGAAGAAAAAATTGAGCAAGAAGAAGGCTAAAGATGGGAATGGAAATGCAATCCAATCTCAAGACAAACAAGGTAAATCTTGCGCACAAATTTCATTTAATTCATTTATGGATTATGTGTGTATGATTTATGAAATCAATTGTGTACGGGCTGATTGTTCGTGGTATATCGATTCGGGCGCATCGAGGCATGTGTTTAAGGATAGATCTTTGTTCATGACCTTCTTGGAGGTTGTTGATGGAGAAATTCTCTATATGGGCAATGACTCTACCGCTAAGGTGCTTGGAAAGGGTCAAGTGGAGCTAGTCTTAAGTTCGGGAAAGTCTCTTATTTTAAGAGATGTGTTGTTTGCTCCCAAACTTAGGAGGAATCTTGTATCCGGTGCGATCTTGAATCGATTAGGTTTTAAAATGGTGTTTGAGTCAAATAAGTTTATTTTGTCTAAAGGAGGTAAATTTGTAGGACTTGGTTATTTGTGTAATGGTATGTTTAGGTTAAGTATTTGTAATACTTTGAATGATGTTGTGTATGTTGTTAATGACAATTCTTCTCTATGGCATTTGCGACTTGGTCATGTGTATTATAAAAAGTTATATTTTATGTCTAAGCATGATTTGATACACATGTTTGATCCAAGAATAGAGAAGTGTAAGACATGCATGTTAACCAAAATCACAAGTAAACCATTTCTTAAAGTTGTTGAGAAAAATACTTCATTGCTTGATTTAGTGCATAGTGACTTGTGTGATTTTCACAACACACCTTATTTAGGGAATAAGAAATATTTGGTAACTTTTATTGATGATTTTTTAAGATTTTTTTACATTTATTTATTATTCTCTAAAGATGAAACCCTTGACAAATTTAAAATCTACAAAAATGAAGTAGAATTGCAAAATAATGGAAAGATTAAAAAGTTAAGAACCGACAAAGGAGGTGAATACTTTGACCCAAGTTATTTCCAATCTTTAGGTTTAGTACATAAAACTACCGCGACATATACACCACAAAAAAATGGTGTAGCGGAAAGGAAGAATAGGACACTAGAAGAAATGATAAATTCTATGTTGTCATATTCAGGTTTGAGTGATGGATTTTGGGGTGAAGCCATTTTAACGACTTGTTACGTGTTAAATCATGTTCCCATGAAAGGGAAAGATATTACTCCATATGAGCTATGGTACAAAAGGAAACCAAACTTGAGTCATCTCAAAGTTTGGGATTGTAGGACAATTGTAAAAGTGCCGGAACCTAAACGTAAAAAGTTAAGTGAAAAAGGAGTTGAATGTATAAGATATGGGGATCATAACAAATCCTATAAATTCTATGTAATAGAGCAAAATGACTTTTGGTCGGTTTACACCACCATTGAGTCAAGGGATGCATTGTTTGATGAAAATCGATTTTCTTCAATTCCTAGACCAAAGGATATAACTCCAAATACCAATGCTCAAAGTTCTGATCAAGGTTTCATTTATCAAGAGGTGGATGACCAAACTCAT